TCTGGTGAGTCATCCACAGCCCTCTCATAGTCCTCTGCGAGCTTAATGTACACCATCTTCCTCACTTTAGTCTCTCTTCAAAGACGGCTTTACGTGCAGCCGTGAGCCCGCTCAATCACGGCCGTCGGGACCCGAGCTACGCCGCCCTTGATTGCCTTGATAGCTCCAGCCAGGTTTGAACGGCTGTACCCTGGTGAGAAGACGTTAACCCCGCATGAACCGCGCAACTCTCGCCATATGCGATGGATCATCGCCACATGACGATTTCATTCCATCTTGGATGCCAGCAGCGCACGAAAGGCGGCGACAGGTGAGCCCCATATGTTAATGTCATCCAGGCGGTGGGAAACTCATCGGGCTTTTCCCGTCGTGCCTATGTCAGCAGATGCCACTCTGGTTTATCTCTAGGGTTCACACCGTACGGATCTTCTCAATGCCGTCGGTTTCGACCGCGTCGAGCCTCGGATATTCGGCCATATAAGCTCCAGACCATTTCCTGCGCTTTTCAGCCCCTCGTCACCAGGCATGGCGGCAACGGGTGTACTTCTCTCGGCTCCCCGTGCTGTCGACCGTCTCCGCCCTGATTGCAACAGCGGCGATTGCCTCATACCTTCGCTCGGTCTTCTCGTGGAGGCGACGATCCCGCGGCCGACCCTTCCCACCAGGCCCTCCAGGATTACCTTTTATTGGAAACCTACTCGATATGCCAATGGTTCGGCCATGGGAGGGTCTGCGAGAGCTATGCCACAAGTATGGTGAGTCTGCGATGCGATTGCAGACTCTGATTTTCTGGATGGCTAACTCACAATGGCAGGCGACATTTTAGGCATGACGATAATGGGCAGTCCGGTGGTGGTCCTCAACTCCGCCAACGATATCTCCCAGTATCTAGACGGCCACTCGGCCACCACGTCAAGTAGGCCACGCTCGGCAAGCCAGGAGCTGTATGTTCCCATATTGGCTGTCTTTCAAGTTCTGAAATTGCTTTGTACCTCAGTCTCGACTTGACCGGACTATTCGCGTTCATGCCGTACGGGCCCGAGTGGAGGCTGCATCGACGCACGATGTGGCAGTACTTCACCCCCACTGCAGTCACGAAGTACATCCCCGCAATACAGACGTCGTCGCGTATAACCCTCCACAAGCTTCTTGAGGCTCCGGACCGGTTCGAAGAACACTTCCAAGAGTGGGTGGATGTGTCCCTGTCTAATCAAGGAACTCGCTGATCTCTCCCTACAGTTCGGTCGGCGCGACGCTGATGAAGGTCGTATACGGCCTTGACGCCAAATACGAAAACGACGAGAGTCTCATGACGATCGACAAAGGGCTCGAATCGGGCCGCGAGTCCCTCGTCCCGGGAAGATTCCTCGTGGACGTCATCCCCATCCTCCGTTTCCTGCCCCCCTTCTTCCCTTCTCAAAAGCGCTTTTCACGACTCCGCGAGCAGACGGCCCGCATGTACGATATGCCTTACTCCCTTCACAAAGCGGCCGCGGTGAATATCTTTCTGTGGCGTATCCGGACCCTCATCCTCAAAGTTTTCACCCCTGATACAGATGCGTGGAGACATGGGTGACTGCATCCTGTCGGATATGCTCTCCCAGTTCACGAGCAAGCCGGACGACAACATCTATGATCCAACGGTCAACCCCGTAGGCGATAGGGTGGCGAGAGGTGTCACTGCAGTCACCTTTGCGGGTGCGTGTGTTCTCTTCTCACTCTGAATCGACGCTGAAGGACTCGCTCGCCTCATTGCAGCGGGATCAGACACAGTGAGTAGCTCACCATATCGTGATCACTGACAGGGCACTAAATTGTCGATGCAGACTTGCGCGGTCCTTAAGACATTTGTCCTTGCAATGTCTCTCAACCCCGACGTCCTCAAACGCGCCCACGCCGAGACAGATGCGGTCGTTGGACCGACGCGCCTCCCAGACCTCGAAGACCGTGACGCTTTGCCGTACGTGTACGCGATGTACCTTGAAACCCTCCGCTGGATGCAGGTGGTTCCACTGGGCCTCGCCCACAACACAACCGAAGACGAGCAGTTCGGGGACTACTTTGTGCCCGCCGGCACAATGATTCTAGCCAACATCTGGTACGCCGTAGTCAGCAGGTCCTTTGTATGAAGACTCTCATGGACAGATCGCGACGTCTACAGGGCATGCATGCACGACCCAAACACGTACCACGAGCCGGCGTCCTTCGCCCCAGAGAGGTTCCTGCGCGACGGAAAGCTAGATCCCGAAGTCAGGAACCCGAACGACTTCGTGTTCGGTTTCGGAAGACGGTCGGTCGCGCGAGTCACGCCCCATCGCCCGACCTGCATGCTGACGACGACCTCGAACGCCAGCATCTGCCCCGGGAGACACTACGCCGAGAGCGACATCTTCCTCACCATGGCGCACATCATCCACGTCTTCGACATCCGCCCGCCCGTGGACGAGGACGGGCGCGAGGTCGCGATCGAGCCGAGGATGGTCAACGGCTTCGTTTCGTGCGTGCTGTCCTTTCGTGCATCCTGTCGTCGTTCGTCTCTGACCTGCGCGATCGGGCCCAGGTGGCCGGAGGACTGCCGGTGCAGGATCACGCCGCGGACGCCCCACGCCGCCACGCTGATCGTGGACGAGTTCGCGCAGCGGCTCAATCAAGGCTGAGCGCGTTGAAACGATGCTCGACGCCACGACGTTGGGCGGAGTTGTACTATGTCGGGAAGGAAATGTCTGCGACGTCGTGCTTCTGTGTGATTCGTGTGATGTACTATAAACCAAATCATTGCTCCTGCCTTACAGGCGGCCCGCGACCTGCACATGTACAGGACACTACGTGGCGAGGAGATCCAGCGTGGACGCTGCTGAAGCACGCCCGACGCCCGACGAGCTCGATCGACTGCCCATGTCGCGTAGGGAAACAGACAACATTGGGTGAGCGAAAGCCGGCAGAAAAGGACGAAAGAATGTTACTCGCGAACGCGCGGACATTCACCGAGGGCACCGTTGCTGCCCTGGTCTCCATGTCAGGCCAGGATGGTGCCGGCTGTGGAAGAGTGCACCATCCGATCGGCACGAAGTGCGCTGCTGCTATGATCGGTTGCTTCTTTGTACCGTGCCGCGCAATTAGCCATCGAACATTCAAGCAATGACAAAAGAGCGGCGAGACGTTAAGTCTCAATATGTGCGTTAAGGGTTCGGCGGACAGATGCAGGCGTTAAGTAAGAGTATGGAGGCAGGAGTAGTGAGACGTAGATTTGAAAAGACGCGAGGCACGATACGACGTAGATGAAGCATAATAAAGTCAGGGACATAGATCGCAACATATTCGCATAGATGTACAACGCTCGCGTGGTTTCCTGTGATGATGTATCAACCAGGAGCAAGAACAGACACCGCAGACACAATGGGGATGAGAAGAGGGGATGCAAGAGAGGAACGGGGACGGAGACGGGAGTCTGGCATCGTGTGTGGGCAAGGAAATCATTCTCGCGCGTTGAGACGCTCGATTCTGCGCGCTTGCGCTTTGTCGATCACGCACTTGCGGTAATGCATGTTCGTGACCCACGCCGGGTTGCCCTGGTCGTTGACGAGCAGCGTATGGGTATCCGCGAGCTGTTTCTTTGGGTGGGTGCTCCCCGGGTGGACCGTTCGCCAGAGATATACGGGTCCGTCGGGGCCCTCCAGCCCGTCCTCCTTGTCCCATATCCACATCTGCCGCTTGTTTTCGCCGTAGTGGTGTACGTAGAGGTGCGCCTGGCGGAGGCCCTCTATATGCGGGGGCCGCTGGATGCGGTCTACAGACCGTGTGAAGTACCACGTCGTGGAGTGCCGCTGGTTGGTGATTGGCCTTGTCTCCATCTCGGGGACCAGGACCGCCTTCCTGCAAAACACGCCGAGGAGTCAGCCGACGGGCCCCGATGCGCACCGAGGACGAAGGAACGCACCTCTTCTCCGCCTTTACTGCCTTTTCGGCCTTCACGCTCTTCTCCGTCTTGACGTTCTTCTCCGCCTTGACGACCTTTTCGGCCTTCACCGCGCGGACCTTCATGCCGTTGCGGATGACGGGCCCGCCCGCGCGGTCCTGGGCACGCGGGATGGGCTCTGGCTTCGCCCGGGCCGGGGAGGCCGGCGGAGTCGTCCCTGCCCTCCCTCGGCCAGTCCCGGTGCTTTCCCCATCCGCGAAGTCGTCTTCTTCGTCTTCGCACGGCGCGGACTCGGGAGAGGACTCGCGCGACCCGGAGTAGGTCCGGCTTCCGCTGGCTTCGGCATTCACTTGCGCACGGCGACGCGGGCGGTCGCTGCTGTTTTGGGACGGAGTCATGGGGTGCGAAGAGGGCATCGACATCGACATCGACATCGAGGGCAGGGGGGTGGGGAGGAAACCGGGCGGGAAGACGAAACCTCCTGGCTGGAGCATGGGGGTCCATTGGTCCTTTTGGAAGGCGAGGGGAGGGGGAACCCCGGGCTGGAGAGAAATCATGGTGAGCGAGTGCGTTAGATTGACCTGCGGGACAGGTTGTGTCGCGCATAACGACGCGTGGCGGTCTTAGTGAATATACCCTTCCCTCTTCCCCTGAATGGCCATGCTCAAGACAAATGTTAAAGGTGGAGGGCCAGGCGACAGGAACCGTGGATCACAAAGAGTGCAGCGCCCGTCTTTGTCGCGGAGGTGACGGGAGTGTGACGACCTTCCTGCTTCAAACACAACTCAGGTATCCAACGCGGTCAGGACACACACTACCTCCATGAACAAGGGTGTTTCCATCTCACTAGCCACGACCTCACTGCGTCACGAGGAGGGTATATGCGCTAATGGGCGGCAGAGAGACGACACTCACTCGAAGACATTGCCATTTTCACCATGCGTGTGTCTGAGCTGAAAGATTGTCTCTCGGGTCTTCCATTTCTGTCGCGCAGAGAGAAAGCGCGTGCGTTGGTGGGAGGCAGGGACGGAGGAAAGCAGGGAGGACGTACAATGAGGAGCTCGGCCCTCTGGTCGGAACAGAAGGCGGCGAGCGCGGAGAGGTTGATCCGGGTGTAGTCGGCGGGGGCGCTCAACTCGTCGGGGACGGGGCGCGCGCCTGGGACGATGTGGAAGGGGTGATTGGGGACTGCATGGTGGTCACTCGGAAGGATGGCGCGGGGACGAAAGGAGTCGCGGGCCCGGGGCAGATAAAGGGGGAGGTCGAGCCGCAAGCGTGACCGGGCGGCTGGCCACTATCTCGCCGTCTTATACGACGATCGACGGCGGAATCTGCGACACATTCAGCCCTCGCGCCTGTGGCAGAACTTGGCTCGCCTGATCCATCTCCCCCACGCGTGTGCCGGCTGCCTCGTTCCGAGCCCATTCAGGGCGCGCCTCGCGCACACGGCACGCTCACCACTCCGCGCGTCTTGCTTTCCTTTCTTGTTGCCGCCCGTCCGACTCGCCTCACCACCGAACCACGATGCCGCTCACTAAGCAACAGGCCGACGACGAGGAAGTTCATCTCGCCAACGTCGTCACGACGTTCAAGCAGTACGGCCCGTATTCCGTGCGCCTTTCCTCCACCGCCTTCCGAACGCGAACGCTCACCAAATTCACGCCAGCTAAACGCAAACAACAGGCGGCGAAAAGACATACACACCCTACCGCTAGCGGACCGGGAACTGCTCAGCTTGTTGCCGTACAAACAACGCATCACGGACACGGACAATGCAATCCTTGCCAACGCCCAGTTCCTGGATGCCGTCATTGCCAGCCCCGAGATCTTCAGCCAAGGGCCCGGAGATGCCGAAGACGAATTCAACGAGGACGACCCTGAGATGCGGGGGAACGACCAGGGGGACGTGGATGACAGCGATCACACCCAACTGTCGCAACCGTCGCAAAGTACTCGCATCCGCCTGCCCTGGCCACAGGCGCTTAATAACCGCAGAAATTTCAGGTCCCCCACATGGCCATGGCCACAGCCACGAACACTCCCATTCTCACTCTCGCACACACGACCACGATCACGACCATGGAGGCCACTCGCACTCTCATGGCCACTCCCATGGCGAGCCGCCGAGTGGCCCAAATGTGCGGAAAGCGGAGTTCAAACCGTCAGAACACGATATGGAGAAGCTTCGCAGTACCCTCAAGCAGCTCGTCCGAGATTGGAGCGCGGAGGTTTATGAATGCACTTTACTCTGGTTATACGCGCTAATCATAAATTTACAGGGTAAGATCGAACGCGATGCGTGCTACGAGCCCATGAAAGATGCACTTCTCCAGCACTTCTCGGACATCCCGCAGGAAGAGAGGTCAGTCTTATATCTCCTGCTCAGAACCCTGCTCTGATGCGCTCAGCCCTTCAGAGGGAACTTCCGCGTTCTCGTGCCCGGCTCTGGTCTTGGTCGACTTGCATGGGACGTTGCAAATCTCGGTCTGTACCGCGCGATCTGCTGCGCATACACTCACTGATCTGCACCATCGGGACAGGTTTCGGGTGCCAGGGGAACGAATTCTCGCACTATATGCTCCTCACTTCGTTCTACATGCTCAACAGGTTCCATTTTCTCTCCCGATGCCCCCGAGCATGACTCACACGTCTCTCCTCAGGACGGACCAGATCGAGAAGCACACAATCTACCCATATGTCCACTCGTTCTCCAACATACCAGACCGCGCCGCTCTCCTTCGCCCCATCAAGATTCCCGACGTCTTGCCATCCTCGCTCACCCCAGACACGGACTTCTCACTTGTCGCCGGAGACTTTGAGGAGATCTACGGCAAGAAGAGCCCGGGCAGCGACGAGCCCGAGGAGGGCCACTGGGACGCCGTCATGACGTGCTTCTTCATCGACACGGTGCGTCACCCGCCTGTCGCTCGTCTCGTGTGGGTCAGCCTCGCGCTGACTTTCGACTGCGCCCAGGCGAAGAACGTCGTGAACTACCTGCGCATCATCCACCACATCCTCGCCCCGGGCGGGGTGTGGATCAACCTTGGCCCGCTGCTCTGGCACTGGGAGAACAACAACACGAACGACCCGTCGGTGGAGCTTACGCTCGAGGAGATCAAGGAGCTCGCGCGCAAGATCGGGTTTGAAATTTCCGTAGGCTTTCGTCGATCGGCTGATACGATAAGGCGCAGCGGCTGACCAAGGCGCTTCTTTGCTGCAGAACGAGCGCACGATTGACACGACGTACACAAACAACGCGCACAGCATGCTGGGCTACATCTACCACGCCGCGTTCTGGACTGCCACGAAAGTGATCTGAGCGGTATGTACGAGCGTGGGTTCTTTCACTGCTATCTTTCGAGCCAAGTCGTTGACGTCACGTCCCCAGAGAATCCTGTAGCGAATTCCAATGTATCCCTACGATAGCCTATGCAGCCGTTCGCCACCTTTGCGCGCTCACAGCGCGAGAAAATCGTCACGGACACTGCACTCTCTCAGACGATGATAGCCCACAACAGAACAGAGACCCGGATGTTTTCGCCGCATACGTCAGCCCATTCGCGGCCCCTCTCAACCCATTCCTGGCCAATCAGCCAAATCGTTGACACGGCTGTCTAAGATGGGCATCCTCGGAACGAGGTCCCCAGCCGACATACGGTTGGCTTCGTGGGCGCGGGCGTGAACCTCTCCGCGTCCGCACTTCCTGATGGCGGGTGCGTCTTCTTGCTCTGGGCCTTCACG